AATTCATCGCTTGACAGCAACTACGCGCCATGGAATTTCGCGTACATAACGCGCGCCTCTATTTCTTGCCGGGTGCGAAAAATTCGTGTCTCGACGAGACGAGATGCGTCAAGAGATCGTATCTTCCTTTATTGTTCATTGTCCTCGCGAAAGTTAACAACCCTAATGATACAATCTCCAAAATATATTACAGAAAATTGAATTTACACCCATTCAGACAATATTTGAAACTGCAATATATTCAGATCAAAATTTTTGGTCCAACTTTAGTTCTGAAGTCAACAAATATTTTCTAAATTTGAAACTTTGCGCCACAAACATCTATGGTCCACAGCACTTGACTATCGAACAAACTTTCATTTCGAATTTTCAGGCATTGTTAAGCACGTTTGACTCAGCGCCAATTGTGCATGACGTACCTATTTGCCAACTCGAATTCAATTGCGTTATACATGTTTTAGTTAAACTATCTTCTGTTAACTATTTACATAAACAACGCAAGTCAAGGTGTGAAATTGTTTGTATTGCTAAAACATTGCTGATATAAATAAATTGCATCTATGCATGAATTATTATGCAATCTCTTTCTTTTCTTACATCAAAAGATGTATTACAAATTGTTATAAAATATTTATAATTTAATACACGTGATTTTTATAATAATGCAAATCTTCACAATAGATTTTACTTTCTCAACAAAATTAATATCTATAAAATATTTGTAAGAGAGTTGATTGCGAGTGAATCAATCGCGCTTAGCATTACGCAAAATAGAACAGCAGTTTGCATTAAGAATGGATTATTAATTACAAAATATTATTATAAAGTCTGTTTCATTAAACATTTGAAACAGGATACTCGATGTACAACGGCAGTGACAGAAACCAGTCATTCGTTAGACGTTACCACTGTAGAGGCTCCTTGACACCGCAGTAGTAACATCAGCCCATGGCCAGACGCGTCTCGAGCTGACAGAACGAAATGGTTTATGTCTACCATTAGTTAGACGCGCACGTAAATTTCGTAATCGTTCAGAACTGAAATTTCTAATCATTGTTATGCTAATAAATAGGCTTCATGAGATATCAGAATATCGAATGTCAATAATTAAATTCTGACAAACAAAATATAAGTAAAAAAGGTATCTAATTAATATATTGATTGTAATCGAGTAATAATATAAATAATTTCTTTAGCGTCCAAATATAATTTATTACCTATTTCATTTTTCATAAAATTTTTTTTACAATATAAAATAGAAATTAGTACAATTTAAAAAAAATAGAAACTATTGTATTTGCACAGTTTTTCATAAAATAAAAATCATCTACATAATTTTTATAAGATAGAAACTATTGAAATACAACTTATAACAATTTATTATCTAGTTTATTTTTCGTGAAATTTTTTTATAAAATAAAAATTGTCAGAATGAAATATTTGCAACAATTCAATACGAAAAAGTAAAATCTTTTAACGCTAAACAGATTAATTCGAAATTTCGACGAAATTTGACCTATCACATTTAGCGATTATCATTATCTGTCTTATCGCCTATACCAACCCAAGTCTACATCAAAGCCGATTGTTAAAGGGATTGTGCCGAGGCTAAACACTCCGAGGTGACCCATTAGATCACCAAGCCAGAGTTCTGATTAGGAATGATCCGGTGCCTAGAAACGGTGCGTATTGTATGTATATGACAGCCGTTTGATTTTACGGCACCCTTGTCTATCCGACGAACCCTTGATTTCCACCTCTATACATCTATTATAAGCCCTTGAAGCCTCACAATAGTCCAGTGTGTAACCAACCGAAACTGGGAGTAATTCCACGTAGGATAGGGACGAGGAAGCCAAAGCAACTCGATCGACAAGTATATTCCAGATTCGTCTAATCGATGGGAATCGTGAACGAGTTGAGCGAGTTTAGAGCGAATTTAGTTTTCAAAGTGAGCAGTAACATTTCCTCTGAGACGATGGAACATTCCTAAAAGAACGATAAGAACTAAAAGAATAATAAAAGAAAAAGAAAGATACCAACATTCATGAAGCAAACTTGCAAGAAGTTTTAACTCTTATCTTAATTTTTTGACAGTTCAATGATTAAATTGAAAAGTTGCAATTGAATATTAAATTACATTGTCTTTTTTTATAAATGTATAGAGGATAACTGTTATTTTGAAGAACACTTTTATAGCAAGAAAGTCGAAAAAAGATAAATTCGTGAAACCGAGGGGAAATGTTAGGAGTTCACTTTAGGAGAGGCTCTCCGATCTTTGTAATTCTATATGAAACTGATATTTGTAGTTTAAGAAAAACTTTGAAAGCTATATATAAGATTGTTATATAGAAATGCCAGATAGCAATAAAAATTACTTTAAATAACTTTTAATACTAATTCACTTATAAAATTTAGTTTGAGATGTTTTATGATTATTTTTTTTACGTAATAATACAAGATATCTTTGCCTCTAAGCGTGATCATAATATAATCATATGTATTATATATCATATTATTTTTTAATATATGATTTTTAGATACACACGTGATATAAAAAAACCAATAGTTTACGAGATATTTTATACTTCATTCTGACACCCTGTGTATTTACACACACACACACACACACACACACACACACACACAAATGAACAGTTTGATAAGTTAGTGACTTAAAAACATTTTTTTTTACCAAAATTCAATTCATTTTTCAACAGTCTTCTTTTAAACAGTCACTAATTTATTTATTATACATCTAAACTGTCCACGTACATATATATATATATATATACATCTATAAGTATTATAACAAATCCGGTTAAATTTGTCTTCATTAACAATATATACTTGGGCAGTTTAGATGTCTCATGTTGATCCGTTGTGGCGAATCTATCTTGAATAAATAAGTACTCGATTCTTCCCTTGGGTATACTTCTACCGAAAATATCGCAAGTCTTGATCGCGTGTGTCTTTCATTGGTCTCTCGTGAAAAGTCTTATTCGTGGTCTTTGATTGAGCACCGTTTTTTCCAAACTCGTCGCAATTGTCATTAAACATGAATGAAGAAAAGGAAAAATTATGCGTGAACGATGCCTTTTCCGTTCTTCGTCCGAAACATCGAACCAGAATGCCTGGCACGAAACAAACGACGCGGCTCATCGATAATTCATTACCATCTTCCATCAATTTCTTATCTTGGCATGCTCTACGATCCGCGAGGGATCGCCTCTCGTAATCTCTCTGATGGAATCGGCTTGTGGCTTGACGAGGGAAAGGGAATGCGCGCTATGGATTATGACTCGGCAGACTTTCTTTTTCTAATATTTTATACAAGGTATTTTTAAATAAGTACGAAAAATTTTAGAAAATTATTCTTTGTCGAAAATTAAGAGGAATTTTTTATAAACGTATATTCTTATATTCTTCCCTAAGGAGTTTTTTTTAAAAGGAGAAATTAAAAAAATTAAAATTTAAAAAATTAAGAATTTTTTTCAAATTTTGAACAAGTTAGAAAAATGAAATTTAGTGGATATTTTCTAGTAAAAATAATACTTATTAATATCTTAAATAACAAAAATTTTTCGTATAGTAATATAGTCTTCCAAGAGGTGTTCTCTGAAAACGTCGGAGGACATCTTTTAAGGACATCTCCAGAATATCCTTCGAATAAATGTGCTATATGGATTATTTTTACCTCTCCCTTTGAAGAAATGTAACTTTTTAAAGAAGAGTATAGGTCTATATGTTTACATAAAAACTTCCTTAATTTTCAACAAAAAATTATCTCCTAAAATTTTTCACACTTATTTAGGAATAGCCTGTATAAAGGCGTTTAGCAGATGTGAGATATTTCAAATACTATGTATATCGGTAAAATATTGTATTTCGCGAATTCAGTTATATGAGAAATATTTAAATATATCCGAACGTGATTATATGTTTTCTGCCGTTCTATATGTCCATTTTTACTAAAACTTTAAATCAATTTTCTGTTACTTAAATTATTACGACAAATTTATGAAACGCTTTATTTAACCTGCAATCTCTAATCTCGTGATTGTACTGAGAACCCTGTAATCGAATTAATTTCAGCGACTCCAATTCGGAAGAATACTAATTTAGCAGAGAATTAAAATAGTTCCATTGCAATAGCTAAAGGTAATGACTTATTACCGGATTCACGAAAAGTCGAGATAAAAGAGTCGTAGAAATTGATTAATGCAAATCCAATAATTGTTTACATTTCGTTCTTAAATCAACTATACAATTGGACATGTCGAATGACATAATTATGATAATTACGTTCTTACAAATAAAAAATGTCGGCACTGTGCATTCATCATATCTTTTTTTGTAGAAAGAACATGATGAAAGTATCGCAGAAGCAGGAGACACTCTTCGACTATCTTCATTTTTCATAAATTTTTAGCCACAGATACGATTTTTCACGAACCTGGGAAGTGCACTTCCGGGTTTGAAAAATGCTATTCGCGAAAGAAAACTTACGGGCGGCCGTAACAGCGTTGTTGGCTCTCTGCAGTAAGAAACCGGTTTCAAGAAGATAAGACAGGAATCCACTTTAGGACAACGTACTTCTCTATTATTGGACAACAGGAAACTGCCAATATCGAAATTATACGATTTATGAAAGAATCACTGAAATAATTGCATAATATATACGCTGTATATTCATAATCTATTCTTATTAACGTTAATTACTTATTTATATTATAAAATGTATATCTGGGAACGTAATCAACCATGCCTTAATCCTATCTATTTAAAAAAACATACAATATAACAATGTAACAATTAAAATAGCAATTGAATAAATCCCTAATTAATAGTGAATACTTTACAGACTAATTATAACTTTTGTAGACTTGACAAAAATGACGCTATTAAAAATAAATAAGTAGGAATAAAATGATAATTTACATATAAGTATATGTAAAGATAATGAGAACAATGGAAGTACTTTAATATCTATGTTGCAGCTTGCAATAAAACGTACTATGGCGATGTGGGGAAGACGTACGATCTGGAATTGCATCGACCGAAGGAAGATAAGGTGCCTTACATTTGCAAGCTCACCTTCAACGCGCCAGGTGACGATTTCGGTGATATCGTGCAGGTGAGTCGTTGAAACATTTGAGACATCCAATTATCCGATATGAGAAGATATTCACTATTCTATTATGTATTGTAAAAAACGTCAGACGATTTATTCATGTACTATCAAAAAGAGCGCGACTGGGAAATTTGCAATAAATTACGCTATACTGAATCAAACTTTAATTAAAGTATGTATTAACGAAGTAACGAATAGTTTGATGAAGGAACGAAGAAAACAGATTGGCGTTGAATTTATGTAGCAAATTAAATTCTGAATAGTTAAGTTTTTATCGAATCGTATATATATTAAGGAAACCGTGCAGAGAGTCTCAACAAATAATTATCTTTCTCGCACAAGCAGAACGGTTGTTTCCGGGAAATGCGTTTCTCGAATTCTTCTCTCTCGATGGAAAAGTTTTAAATAAATTATGTAGCCAATCGCAAATCAATTACATTGGATAAAGAAAATTTGAATTTTAATTCTCCGTCAGTAATGTGAAATTTTTGTCCTTCGTATACAATCTGAGTCTTCAGTACAAACTTTTATATTGTATCCAATTTTATAAAAATCTAAAACAATTTTTACATACAAGATGTCTTGTAAGAAGTTGCTGAAACTAATTTTAAACATAGGGAATAGAAAAATAAAATATTTTTTAATAAAGTACATTTGGTATTTTTATTTAAATATAAAATACAGATAGTCATAAATATTATATTATTTAATAAATGTTTAAAAATAAAATGCCAAATATCGCATCTTTTTTAACAAAAGAAACGTTAAATAAATTTCTATGAATTTTCGAAATATTGTTAAGTATTAATATTTTGAAAATATATATCACTATTGGCAATATTTTTGGCATTTTTATAACATTTACTAAATAACATTTACTAAATAATAAAAATAATTCTGATTGCTTTTACTTTATATGTAAATAAAACTGCCAAATATCCTCTATTAAAAAATATTTTATTTTTCCTATTTCTCTATACGCGTTTAGAAATAACAGCTGACTACTTTCAACAACTTCTCATCGGACACTTTGTGAATTATGAAAACTTTAGCAACAAATTTTTACTATCATAGAAGTTGGATTATATTTTATTTATTTTTTACAGATTTGAATTTATTTACCAAAATTCATAATAAAAAAATCAACTGTCTTTAAAGTTCAACCTGTCCAATATTCTAGACAGAGAATTAACGGTTGACATAACGGGAACATTAGCAATTCCGAAAAACGTCCCTTTTGCTTATTCATTTCTCGTATGGCAATGAAGGAAATTATTTTTATTCGGCTCTCGTCGAGGAATTAAAGGTGGAATTTTTAATTCGGTCGCGCATTTTCCGACGATTACGTGAAACTGAAAAACGACCGTACACCGAGTTTCCGAGAGCGCGAAAACTTTGTCGAGTGCACAAAAACTCTTCTGCCTCCAGCTGTCGAATTATTTGCGCAGCAATATTTGCTAGCTTTCTCATATCTGCATAGCGCAAGTCACGAGAATCCCAGAATCCCTTGTACATGCCGGTGGTCTGCGTACAAATGTTTCCTGGTCTCGTCAAAGAAGCCGCAACCGCGCTAAAAGTCACAGTGATGCAAAACAAAATGTGCGGCAGCCAGGCAGAATTGCGTCTGACAATACACTTAAGTTAACACAATTCATGAATTTCTGCTTATTCCTCTATCTGAGTATCGTTTATTTTAATTATATATACATGAATAACATAATAAAAAAGGTACTTAAAAAAAAAAAGAAATAGTAATAAAAAAAATAGCATAAATATTAAGATTTAATTGATGATCACATAATCTTAAAGTATTTCGTTATTAATATAATTCTTAGGCAATTCATGCATTATTCATAACAAGTACTTCAAATCTTTATCACATCGACGTTCACGCCTGCAAACTGCTTTCTATCACTGTCAAAGCGAGACTTGCCGATGTTTTAATCGCGCAGGGTGGACGGGCGGAATGAAAAACTGTACGGACTATCAATTGCTGACAGTTTGAGCAATGGTCGATGACGCCGATACGAATTTATTTGCTTGGCATCGTGTAAAAAAAGAAGCTTCTACAGTAACATCACTCATTCATTTTATTTCCGACTACGGAACTTAGTCGTTAAAGTTTTATGGAATACAAACAAAAGAAATATTTAAAAAATTTTAATTAAAAAAAAATGGAAAATATATATTTAAAACAAGATAAATATAAAAACAAGTGTCATCTCTGCAGCAAAATTTCGCAAGTTACGATAAATTAAAATATGAGATTTTAATAACCTTCTTTTAAGTTTTGCTCTCTTGCATTACATTAACTTTTTTTATGATATATACCACTCAGAAATCCTGTCTCTTAACTTAAGTAATAGGGCCATGAGACACAAAAAGACTTTAGCAGTAAAACGTAAGCAAATCCAATAGTCTCGGTTCACAATCTTGTTTTATACTCGATCCATAATCTTGCTTTAAAAAAGTCTCAAGTCATAAGTTAAAAGAATTAAGTGATAATAATTTTTGTCTTTAATTGTTTTTGCGTAATCTTTAGGCTTTAATCGTTATTTTGTGAAATCAATGTTGATTTCCTTACTTCTTATGTTTTACAGCTTAAGCTTTTTGTGCGTAAATGGTCCTTATTCATTGTTTGTTCGGCGATAAGTTTCACGACATGTTTTTTTATTGCAGTTGACCTTCGATAGCTTTACTCTAGGCAAATTCGTATCGTTCACCGCGGCAGGATGTCCCGACGGGTCCCTACAAATCTCAGAAGTGGAGCGTCCCGACGTCGGCGGACTTTGGTGTGGCACGTCCTGGGGACCCGCAATCTACTACAGCGAAACACCCAGCGTCTCGATCATCCTCAAGTTGCTCAGGCTCAGCAAAGATCAGACGGGATTCAACTTCGACTTTAGAATGGCGTACAAGATGATCAAGAAGTCCGACGCGGTGGTACGCTACGGAAATCCCTTCGTCGGTAGGTGATCAGTTTTCGATTACAGATTTCGAGCACATTTATCGAAGCTTGGTCCACGTACACGTTCGACATTTATCCTGCAATAAATTTCGATAAATATCGTATATTTATTTCAATTGAAATCAGTTTCGGAATAAGTTAAATATTTTCAATTCACAGCAAGTATTTTCTGACTAAAATTTAACGAAATTTTTTGTTTCTTACGATTTATTCTATTACATAAATTGTTATTACTATTATTATTTTAAACTATATATTATTAAAAATTTTTAATGTATGTAGAAAATATTATAGATTATTATGTTATTTTTATTATTTCTATAATATTTCTATGTTATATAATATGAAATTATAATTATATGTTTATAGGATTTTATTCTTTGGGATTTTATAAAATATATAAGACCTTTCGATTTTAAAGACTTTTATTTATAACAGTTTTAATGTATCTTTCAATTCAGCCATACAAATTCTCATCTTGATTGATTAATAACACTCGAATATATTTCCCGAGTAAATACTTGAGGGATTGTTCGAAGTTTGTACCTGTCCTGTTCGCAAAATTGCACGGCGATTGAAATTGCGCGGACAAAGAATTTCCCGATATTTTCGCCGATGATTAAAATTCCAACGTCACGTGGTCAGGAATAACGCAGGTCGTCGGAACGCCGGCGTCGACCGAGCGCACGTCCGCCGAGTACGCGAACACGTCGATGGCGATGCCGGTGCAAATGGTCGAGCAACACGTGCCATCACCTACGAAACCAAGCTCCGAGCAGTTCTTAGGGGACCTAATATCCGGGACTTATTGCTCCCGTATATTCACCGACTGCGACCGGAAGAAGTGCAGATTGCAGTCGCCTAACTTCCCCGGTCTCTATCCTCGCAATCTCACCTGTTATTACGCGGTAAGGCTCGCTTAAATTATTGTCATACTTGGCAAAACGTGGTACGCTTTTGTCCTACATTGTAATTTGAAAAACATTATAAAATAATAATGATTCAAATAATATTTGTAATATATAATGTAAGACGAGAAAAAAAGGCTTTGCAAGAATTATATCATATAAATGTAAAAATTAAGCCAATATAAGCCGATATAAAATATATTTATTATAATAAAGTAATAATTTTACAAACGTATATCTTATATGGACTTGATTTTTACATTGGCTTGATTTTTACCTTTATATGATTTATTATTATTAATGTTAATATCATAGTAAATTTGTCGTTGATATTTCCGAGTTGAATTTTTAACAGTAATTCGCAATCTCAGTAACAATATACAAAAAATTGGCTGCTCATTAGGGAAATGCTTTCGTCGTGTCGGATATATCGTTAGCGTAATGCATCATCGTCCGAATTAATTTGCTCGTTGTCGAGCAGATGCGCGGCAGTGATATACGATCGACATAGTCAGACGGGGAGCCTCTCCCTCGAGCCTTGACACAGCTCATATTTCTGTTTCAAGCAGACACACCTGCGGCGGAGAGAGAAAAGTCGTAAAAATGACTCCCTTCCTCTCGTACGCGGTTAACAAATTTTCGGACGGTCTCTTTCCTGTAACCATTATTTTCTCTTAACATTTCACGGCACCGCGCAGGTCGGCCGCCCCTCCTCGTCACGTAAATCAACGCGAACGACGAGTTTCTGGTCGGTATAATTTTTTTTTCATAAGAAAGATTCAAAATTGGTCAGTAGCCAAGCACAAAGTTGCTAAACGCGAGCAAAACAGACTGGCGATGTTTTTACAAGAAATTGGAAAGGCGCCACCAAACTTTGTTTTTATCGTAAATTTAATTAAAAAGAAGAAATTTAAAATTCTTTCTTCCTTTTTATTATTCTCTTTCAGTTTTATTTTTCTTTCTTCATTCTCTTCTCTACTAGCGTTGGTAAATAATCAATTTTATTTCATACGAAAGCTGTAATCTATCATCAAATAAAAACCACTGTAATAATGTCAATATCCTTGATGTATTATTGGGAATCGACGTCGCGAAACTAATCAACTTTCTATTCAGTCATTCCGGAGTCGGTAGGTGAGATAGGTGAAGATTCTCGTAGAATTTACGGCCTCCGTTTCAATGCTGGAGATGGTCATTTATTCTTCTCGTATACAACCAGACAGACAGACAGACACTCGTGGGACTTGCACTAGATAGACTTCGATTACGAGAGGAACCAATTTTCATCGGTGTATTTCTACCGAAAGTTTATCTTATTCAGAAACTCTGTTACAACTGTTCTATTCTATTGTATATCGCACACTAACTCAGCACGATGGAATTACCGATATCTAGATAAAGATCGATTCAAACAATTTGTTATTGTCATTTGTTAATCATTCTACTTTTAACTTTTAGACTGCCACTTTTGTGGCTTTTGAGTATAATTAGTATTGAAAATAATATCATTTTTGTATAATATACAAAAAAATATATAAAATATATAAAAAAAATTATAAAATAAAAAAAGTAAAAAAAATACAAAAAATAAATTTGAAAAACCAAACAAAAAAGAAAAATCAAAAAAGAGTACAAATTTTCGTTCATGTCATTAGCTCTGGGTAATGCTAAAGGAAAATTCTGAGTCTACATGTTTATATTCATTTATGTTGTCATATTGCGCTTAGAGCTCGAAATTTTATAAATCTATACTCAGAATTGGAATCAGCGATCAAAAATCCCCAAAATACACTATTTTTGAGAAAATAAACATTTTTTATATTTAACAGTATGTTCCTTGCCGGAAAAGCCACTTTTGTGGCTCTGCACAAATCTCGAAATGTTGCGCTATATGTACAATATGTTACTTATACAGAAAAATTTTTGTAAAAAAAGAATCACTATTTTAATGAAAAAATGCCGGCAGTCCAAAGGTTAATCGCAAAGTGTATGTAGCAAATTTAAAATTTATTTTTATATTTAATACATATAAATATATGCAATTTGTTTTAATAAAGCAAATTATCTGTTATTGTAAGAAAAGTTATTACTATCTGACGACATTTTTCAAGAAAGAATAAACAATTAATTCAGCATTTTATTACTAAAACTTTGTAACGAATCCATTAAACCTATTTAAAATATATTTTTTAAATAAGATATTAAATGAAATTTTTTAAAATAAGAATCGACTTCGTATATGAAAAATGAATTAAAAAAATTGATGCTAATATTCGATATAAGATCTTACAACACTTACATTTACATTTATATTTGAATTTCAGCGATGTCGCTGAAGGAATATAAATGAAATCATGCTACGCTGTGCATAAATGCAACACACGAGATGCATTTAAAGATTACGATAAGAAATTCGATCATGCGACAAGAATAGAAATTTCGTATAGATACGAATAGACTGATTCATATTTCGTGTAGGTGAGACAGCACGAGGTACCGGCGGGCAAGCATGCTTTAATACACGTAAAACAGCCCCGAGGCCAATTGGTAGCTGTAAGAGCGCGACCAGCAACTCAAGCCGAGGCGCCACCCCGGGAACTGCGTCTCTGGCAAGATTGCGACGTCGTTCAGGTACGTAAAGCCACAGCGAAAATTGGATTAGCTGTTATAAATTCGAGACAGAAACAGAGAAAGAGAAAACACCCGGATGCAACGCTGGGCAACGTGACTAGTATGCCAAGCAACCGCGCTACTTTTGCATAGTGATCTCCTGCCTGAGAAAGAAACTTTCAGTTTTGCATTCTTTGTCGCCATCGAAAAAACCACGAATGCGAGGTATTTTCGTCGCCAATAGACGGAGTCGAATGTAATCGCGAATCAAAGAATTAAACGCAGCCTCACAAGTTCAAACTACTAAACACCCCTGCGGTGGTTTATTCTGGGTGAGGGCTCTACAAGGCTTCTTGCCCGTTTCTTTTTAAGACAATTCGCTATGCCTTCCAAAATTACAAAATTTTTTTTACTAATATTATTAATATAATGTTGAATTTTTTACAATCGTGTGATCTTAAAATATAACATTTAATGATTAACGAAATAATTTTTTAACATTAAACATAATTTGATAAAAACACGTTCACTTATTGTAATAATTTAACGAATTAAATATCGTTATGAAAATTAGATTTGTTATGAAAATTACGTCGATTTCATGGTGATCTTTGCAGTTGGAAACTTGATCTAAATACGAAACTTTATTGTATCATTGTCTATTCCTTCGAGACAGAGAAATTTGTCTTTATAGGACTACGTAACAGTGTATGACGGATACACCACTAGGGAGCCCGTGATCTTAAAATTTTGTGGCGGCGGGGAGCCGGTGCCGGAGGCCATCAGCAGCGGTCCGGAAATCCTTGTGGAGTTTACTACCTCTCCTTATGGCACCTTCTTACATCCGACGCCGCCCCATTCTCTACATGGGTTTCAATTAGAAGTGCAAGTACGTGAGCAAGCTCTCTCCATAAATTGCATAATGGCCACCTTAATTAATGTCTAACGTCCGTTCCTACTTAATCATCTCTAAAATTCGATGCTTTAGGTATAAACATAACAGAAATTCTGAGAAACAAAGAACTTTGGAAAATAATTGCGTTTTATATGAAAACGCTTTGATATTTTATACTATCTACTATTTAATCGATTACACTGATTGACAAAATTTCACATTTCTTATGTTAAATTAATCTGATAGGGTTTCTTATAGTATTTTTCTCAACTGATTTCACAAATCTGTTTCGCAAATTTATGAGAAGAGCAAAGTTTTTTGGTATAACATGCATTTACTCTATTATAAATTTCTCTATTATATCTTTTACTTACAATTAGACATAAATAGATAATTTATAGGGAAGAATTATTGAATTAACTTGATTTTCTGCTAAATATAAAAGATTTTAAAATAAATCATTTTAATAAAAATAGTCTTCATACAAAGAAATAGTTGTTATTAATTAAAATGTATAAGTTTTTAAAGGAGATATTGGTTTTCAAAAATTGAGCTTGTAGGATAAATTTTAACTTAATTTTTTAAATCAGCATGAAAAGATATTATAATATATAAAAATTAGCCAAAATCACTCAATTAACAAAATTATTGTTGACCAGTGTTATCAATCAAAGCAACAAAATGTCGAGTGAAGAAAAATCTTTATGTGTATCGCGATAAAGATAAACGATAAAAAATAAAAGATAAACGAAACTAATTTTATTTTATACTTCTAGCAAAACTAACCCTCATCTTTAAAAGATTGAAATAAATAATTATTTTCACTGTATTACCGAAAATCAAAAGTCGTTTAGGTACTATTTTATCTCGTTGATCGCACATAAAATCTAACGAGCTCCCGCTCGTTGAAGCAGAAACAACAATATCACAGACATTTGTGTAATTCTGTATAAAATTTCTTAACGACACACCACAGCGAATGCATTCGCATCAGATAGAACTGTGAACACGCGATCGCTCGACCAATTCGGACTCACCCCTCCGGTAAGGGAGGGTGAATTGACGACGCGAAGCCCGGTTTTACCGAGACTGCACGCAACGTGATCGCGCGTCGGCTTCCAGGTCACGTTCGTAGATGCCGAATCGCCGACCTACGCCAAGAATAAGCGTTGTGAATTCTGGTTGAGGGGCACCGGTGGCGGCATCCTGGCGTCGCCACGTCACTCACTGCCAAGAAACAGCACCTGCCTGTATCATCTTCGTGGAGCTGGTCCCACTTTGCCGAGTCCGACGCCGCCGCGGCCGCTACCGAAGTTTCCAGAACAAAGACCCGGTACAGTCTGGAGGAGACCAGCCCCGAGACCACCGCAGCCGCAATTCCGCGTCTGGCTATCTATCCTCAAATTCCACGTAGGCACCAGTCTGTCTAGCACCGACGAGGATTGCTCGACGACGCTGATGGTCTGGGATGGCGAGATGATGCCGTTATCGGAATGCAACGATGTTGTTTGGTAAATGGTAGCAAGTGACCAGTAGTTGACCAGTAGTTTCGATTTAGCTATTTAGGAGAGATATTTCTTGTTTTATTTTATTTAACGTTAAGGAATTATCTTATTTTATTTTCAGATTGATTACTGCTTACATTGTTTTCTTTTATTACACCGTAACAAGAGGACAAAATTTAACTTTTTTCTTGCCACACGTGTGTAAATAGTCATTTCCGACGTATTTTTATCTGCTAAACACGAATTCGTTGGCAAAAGTTGGCTATCAATTTTGAGAAAAATAGCATCGAAAAGGCAAAAACAACTATTTTGAGGGTTTTCGAAACACTATAGCACTAGCAACTAATTTTTTGCTTAATTTCCTTAATTCTACATGAAAAAATTAATTTTTGGTTTTAAAATGCATTTTGATTCATTTCAATACAATTTTTTGTTTTCGAGATATAACAATTTAAAGGTAATTCTTTTCCTATGTAACGAACTACCCAACAAAATTTTATCCTTTTTTTGCAACACGAGTGTGACTAGTCATTTCCGACGTATTTTTGCCTGTTGAACATGAATCCGTTAAAAATTGACGAAGATGTCCCAATACGTTAAAAAGGTAAAATAAAATCGAAATTCGAAACGAGCCAACGAGCCTTTTTTTTATGAAAAATTGACGAAAAAGATATTCCAACGTGTTACAGAGATAAATTCGATCGAAATTCGAAGCGAGTCAAACAGTAGTTTTTTATTACATTTTTAAATTTGACAATAACGTCACAATTTTGAGAAAAATGGTGCCAAAGGAAGTCACATTTTTGGTACCTTTAACGCCATTTTTCTCAAAATTGTAACGTGAGAGTCAACTTTTGTCAATAGATTCATGTTTAACAGGCAAAAATACAATGGAAATGACTATTCGCACTTGTATTACAAAATGATGTTCCACAGAGTTATTAACGTTTCGTCAATTTGATTGTGACACCCTCTCTTTCTTGTTTATTTATTAATGATTAATATTAATTTTCTTAATCTTTGATGATTTTCTCAATTACCAATGTCCAATGTTTGTGAAAAGAATCAACATTTGTTTCAGTGAAAAAGAACGTCAACGTTACGCTGAAAGAATGGGCGATCCAATTCAACCCGTTCTTGCGCGTCCCTCGAGCAATACCACATTGTTAGCGAGATATTGTAAGGACAAAGTGCCGAAGACTTGCGATCATGCTATTCTACAGAACACCAGTCGTCCGTGTTCTTTGGTAGAAAGTTTCGTCTCCTCTGGCAGTAGTCTAACTATAGAGATGCGTATGGTCGAGTCAACAGCGCTTAGGCAAGTATTTAGTTTTTATTTGTTTTAAGATGCTTATTAGCATCATTATTAAATTAACAATTAATATAATTTGTAAAACTATTTCCGGTTTCAATTTACGATTGCTTTTCAAGTTCTGACAAACTGAATCGGCGCGCAGTTTATAGAACTAAAAAATATATTTGAAAAATTTAATTTTTTCGAATATTAAGTATCAACGTCCGTTCAACTAAATATAGAATTCTTTCTTTTATTTGTAATATTTATTTATCAGTCTTTTCTATTTATTATTGTATTTATTGTAGTATTTCATAAAATTTTGTCACTGCTGCTTAATATAGAAAACAAGCAATATCTTTTAGTATCACATTTTATTACAAAAAAATTATTAAATTATCAAAGAAATTCTAATATTCTTAATACTAAAAGTGAAATTAATGTTCGAATTAAGGCGTCACTTATATTCTAATTTAGTCAGATTCACTAGTCTACTTAAAACTTTTAATACCTGTTTGCAAAGTTATATAATTTTCATAGCTTATTCCTTAATTAATTATACCCTAGAAATTTAGACGAACAAGTGAAAAATATCAGTATATTATATTAGTAGAATTACATTAATATCTTATACGTCAAAAAATGATATCGTATTAATTCTCTTTAACATCGTTAGTTCCAACCATTATTTGATCATTTTTCAAAAAATAGAAAAGAATAATAAAAATTGAATATCCATGTGAATGCAATTTAAAATCTGTAGAAAATTCGAAAGCTCGAAAGATACCTATAAAACGTTTTACAACGACTTTTTTATTTTAATCAAAAAAATTGATCAAGTAACGGGGATCTCTGAAAAATCTCGAGCGAACATATCGGCATTTTGTATCGACAAATAGTAAAACGTTTAAGAAGCAGTGCTCCAACCAGTACTTGTAATCTCGTGTTTCATCCGATTCGCTTACAACATTGTCGGATCGAACCGCCGGAGAGTTACAAGCGAAGTATGCGGAAACGTTTTATAGAAATAGGATGCGCAATATCTGCCACGGTAGCACGTTTCATTCGTTCGCGTGATGTTACTTTCTCACTCCTTTCTCTCTCTCTCTCTCTCTCTCCCCCTCTCCCTCTCTCCTCTCTCTCTCCTCCGTTACCTACATAGATTATTCATGAGGGATTCTCTCCCTTTTCCCATCCTTTCCCTCGCACTGGAAGGATGGCGG